TTTAACTTCCAATATCACTAGCTGTAATAATACTTTTATCAACATTGAATTCCCATGTTTTCCTCCCAATCAGACTGATGAATAAAACAACCTTTCTGTTCAGAAACCTAATCAGTACCACTTAAAGCAAAGAGGAATTTATCCTTCAAGTAAGCACTGGAGTGATGGGCAAACAGGTGAAAAATGGAGAGGTGAGGAAAGTGGGGCGAAAACACCAGTGAGTCTCCTCTCCGTCTCTGGGGACTAGGTAGGACTCAGCTCACAGCTTCGGAGATAACCCAACCCCACAGACCCTCTTTCACAGCAACAGTGCAAAAGTTTCCAAGAAACCAGAGGTCCTCCTCCCACCTCCCCACATTCATGTTCGACTCACCTGCCCAGCGCCCCTTGATAGCAGCTAGTCTCAAATCCGCCCGCCCTCTCCCGAAGAAAGGGTCAGCAGAGGGTCCTGGTTTTTCTTAACACAAGCCTGTAACTGTGTTTCCCTAACACGGTTGTCTTTGCCATTGGCATTCTTTGGCATATCCTCAGGTTCCCTGAGTCTATGAGAATTTAAAATTCTGCATATTCATTTCCATGGTTAGCTAAAAAATTAGTATATAATTCAACTTAAAATCTAAAAGTCAGCTCATCCTCCTAAGAATACTAGAAGTCAGGCTCATTCTCCTAAGGACACTAAGAGCATCCTCATTAAAGTCAGGAACAAGACAAGGATATCCATTAGCCCCACTCCTAATGTTTCTTTGGAGGAACTGGCTAATGCTATTACACAGAAAAAAACAGAAGATAGAAAAAAATAAGACAAGAGGAGGTGAACTTGTAGTTATTTGTAAATCATATGACTGTATGCCTAGAAGCCTAAGAGAAAAACTAAAAGCTACGAGTATACAGATAATAAAAGAATTCAGCAAAGTGGCTGGCCATAACATTAATGTATAGTAATCAATATACAAACAATTACTTAGGACATATATAGATAAATAATGGGAAAACTTAATCTATTTGCAGTAACAACAGAAATTATAAAAGGTAACAAGAAATATGCAAAGTCAATATGAAGGAAATAAACAAAATAAACAAAACTTAAAAAAGAAGGCTTGCCCTGTTCTTTGACAGAAAGACTTACCGTGAGAGGAATGTCAAAATAACCGTTGGACTTGTGTTACTGGCAACCAAATGAAACTGGTAAGAGAAAAAGTCTTGTTTATTTTCTCTTCATAACTTCATTCTCCACCTAGCCTTTCACATTACCCGGTCTTGCCTCGGGAGTTCTAGTCTCCATGGAGAGATGTAGGCTCTCGACTGGCATAAGGCAGGTCACAGGTTAAGCAAGGTGTGCTCTTTCGGCTGTCCAAGTCAAGCCCATCTTGGGACTGCTGGGCCATGGTGAGAACTCCCCAGGAGATGTTGCTCTCTGCTAGTTGTCATGACTTGCCATGGGCATCTTCAGTCCTCCTTTGTCACACATACACCACACACTCACTCACTTAGGAACACCCATTTCCACAATACTCCATCTGAACCATAGATTTTATTATCTTACTGATACAACTGCTACACGATAATGGTAATCTTCCTAGCAGGATCATAGCTAAAACAGCAATTTTTATTATTTTCAACATGTCCTCAGCCCTTCCTTGGGCTATATGCTTTTTGACAACATTTTTACTTATCTCTGGTTCCCCAGGCATTTGTAGTTTAAAAAAAAAAAAGCCACTGCTAATTACTATTGTCGAAAGGAATTCTAGATATGAGTAAGTTGGGCATTTTCTTTTTCTTTTTTGGTGGGGGAGGGGAGAAAAGGTAGAAGCTGCTATTGCCACTGAAATCTTGTCAGGCTGACTTGGTGGGGTGAGATAGGGCAGGCAGTCAAGCTCCTCAGAAAGACTCTTCCATCCACAGACCACACCCTCCTTGAAGGCTGCTCCCTGACTATTCCCAGAAACAGTGAGGATCTCTTAACTATAGAGCTAAGTCTGATTTTTAGCTGTCCCTCCCTCCCTTTTTATCTTCTTTAGAGCTTGGCACATGCTAGAAATTAAATAACTGCCAAACGAACAAATGGATGTGCTTTCACCAACCTATATCCTGAAGCCTACAGAGCAAGGAGAAGCTGCTTAAAAATTCTCTGGTATGAAAGTGCCGCCAAGTAGGAGCAGTCCAGTGGCAGAATACAGGAGATTTTAGCTTTGGGAACAATCGTTTTTAAGTTTTCTATCTTTCACTGTGTATAGTGTTGTTAAATGCTTTTTTTTTTTTAACTTGCTTATTTTAATAGAAATTAGAACATTTTGGGAGGCCCTTAAAAGTATCTGTGGGCCTAGGCTCTGAGCCTTCTGTGCCAAAGGGGTGTCAGTTCTCCTTGGTGCTTGGGAGACTGATTGTTAAATGTTTGGATCATCGCCCCGGGTAAGACTAGTCCTTGCGAAGCAGAAAACTCAAATGCCTTGGAGCAGTCTGGGTGTGGAGCATACGTCCACTGCATGTGTGCTGAAGGTATAGCGAACTGGAGTGCATAGCCCCTTACTCCAGAGGTCGCTGTGGCTTACCTCCCTGGGATTTTTGCCAGACTTCCATTTTTCAAGAAAAGCTGGAAATCCTGAGTGTAACAAAGTAAAATCTCCCAACTTAAAAATGTTAGCTCAAATTAAAAGAAAAAAAAATCTCCCTGCTCGAGCCAAGCAAAATACCTCCGTGGACTGCATCTGGCACCACTGTGATCTCTGGAACACAGCTGCAGGGAGGACCCTTAACAGATGACAGGTGTGGGACTAGAGAACCAACACATCAGGAGGTCAACAGTGGTCTGGTTTCAGCATGACTGTGAAAAAGTAATAATTGCAGTAAATTGTATGACTTCTTTACTATTTATGCGTAGTCAGATTCTGTAAAATTCCATTTGTACTCTATTCATGCTATCTCATCCTCCTTAATTTGTGGCTTCAGTAACAGGGTCAAGATTTCATGATTTACATGTATTCTGGAGAACTTTGCTCCTAATCATAACTGTGAGTTTTATTTAGAAGTGTTCATTAGACTTTAGTAAAGGCCTATATATTACTAGTCAGATCACATTTGTCTGACTTCCTTTGGGGTTTTAATGTATGAAAAAGAAGAGTGCGAAGAAGTCTGCATGAACTATTTTTTTAAAACTCTTTCGGGGTAAACATTTAGTAAAGATTATTTTTATGAGAACTACGACTTTAGGGATTTGAATGAAAAGCATGTAATACTCACCTTACAGAGACAGTCAGCCTGCAGTTTTGCCAGACCGTGAGTAGGCAGAGCCAATCCCACGCCTCCCTTTATCTCTGCTGGTGATTTCACGTTCTAATCCAGGATTGTAAACAGATAATTAAGATCTAGTGTGATGAGCTCTTGAGTGGGAAAAGTATAGGTTCCTATGGATCAGAAGCAGAGTCTCTAACTTAGGTTTGGTGGCGGAGGGAGGTCTGTAGGCTTCTAGAAGGAAGTAACATCTTCAATAAGAGTAGAAAATGAATTAGCCTTTAATTAGAGCCTGGGAGGAGGGTGGGGGAAGAAGCACAGAATTGACAGTGTGATAAGATCTGAGACTGAAAATAAATTCAATTGGACTGGAGGATGCAGAACATTATTCCATTTTAATGTATAGCACTTGTCACTTTCTATTCCTCTCTTGTTTGCTTCTTGTCTGTTCTACGCCCATCTCCTCACATGGGACAGGAGCCCTAGCCTGTTGATTCCTCAGTGCCTGGCCCAGGACTGTTAACCTTTCCTGAGGGTCTGCCATGTCAGCTACTGTTCTAAGTGCTCTCACCAATACCCCAACTTTCCCACCCTCTCTCCCCAATACCATCCAAGAGACAAAACTCTATTTCTTCTTCTGAGCTGTTTCAAATGCTTCCTTCCCTGTGAAACCTCCCCCATCTTTTTACTCCACCCCTACCCTCAGAATTACTTCAGAGTCCCCACAGCTACTGATCCTTCCTTGCGGCCTCAGTTTAATTTTGCATAGTGTTAGTTTGCAGTTCCATTGTTTCTCTTCCCCATCCTCACTACATTTCAAATCATATATTTTTGTCTCTCTAAGCCTCTCAACACTTTGGGCAGGCTTTTATACATAAAACGGGGCTCAAAAATATTTTTCAAAACTAAACTAGGGAGAGAAGGTCATGAACCCTTCTTCCTCCCCTTGCCCAGTCCTCAGAGCCATCTTTTAAAACTGATAATCTGACCACATCACAACCCTACTTAACACTGCCAAAGCCTACTCTTCCTCCTCAGAATAGAATTCTAACTCCTGAGCACACTGGCTGCCTCAGGGCCCTGTATGAACCTGCTCCCGTCCACCTGTCCAGTCACATCCATCTCTACACCTGGTCTAATATAACTTAACTGCGTACGGTGACTGCTCAGTGACCTGTACTGACTCATGCCACCAGGCTTTTATTTCGACTACTCCCTCTGCCTGCAATACCCTTTCCATTTCCCTCTACTGGCTCGGTTCAGGCATGCCGTTGTCAAGTAAGCTTTCCTTCTTTGAATACAAATCCTATTAAGAACTTTAAAAAAGTACTAAGTACAATTTTATGGTGTTCCCCTCCACGTGATTAAAAATAATAGGAAATTGTAAAATGTAAGTCTTAAATAACAATTTACATGTATGCTAGATTTAGAATACTATGATTTCCTTTCATTCATCCTCTCCCTGCAGATACCCATTTTGCAGACGCCCTAAACAAAGTCCATCGGATAACCCCCATTCCCGGAATCTCAGGTTGGGTAGGTCAAATGCTCCTGTTCTCAGCTTTTTGGACACAACTCTGTATTAAAGTACCTCGAGCAGACTGCAAGTTTCCCACTAGGGTGTGAGCTCCGGAGGTGGCGCGAACAGGTCTTTGCCCACGGAGCGCGGGCCCCCGAGTCCGCTCCAGACTTCTTTTCTGAGTCGAAATAAAAGTTCCTTCCCAGCTGACCAGTGCATTTCTTCTTTAAGGAGCCGTTCCCTCTTCGCCCAGAAAATACAACCGGCTCGCACCTATCAAGGGTTGGTGGTGGGAAGAGTAAAATGTCAGCTGGCCCTGAATGCCAGAACAAGAAGATTCTTTAAATTCCTGGGTCCAGTGACATGACCAGCAACGGAGACAACCAGAAAGACCAGCGTAGTGGGCGGGGCCGGGGAGATTAGCGACGCCGGAAGTCACGAGGTGCTGCGGCGCTCCAATTCCCCATCTCGGTAGTCGAGTATTCAGCCTTGCGGGCGCTCTGGCGGGCTCCGCTATGATCCACTCTTTCGGCGCTCGACTCGCCCGCGCTGCCGCCGCCGATGAAGGAGGGGCAAGACTCAAGATGGCGGACAAAACGCCAGGCGGATCTCAGAAGGCCAGTTCAAAGGTAATTTCTTAGGGGATTCCGTAAGTCAGTGAGCCTGTCCCTGTCGTCTGGGACCCACAGGCGCTTCCGGCCAGCGGGAATAGACTGGGGTGGGAGGCCAGGTACTGGTGGCGACAGTAGGCCGAGGTGCGGGCGCACCGTGGTGCGCAGGTTGAGAGGCCTGGTAACTCCCCTTAGCCCCAGCCTGGATTCGGCTCGAGACTGGCGGGCCCGCGGGTCGGGTGGGGTGGCGTGAGTACTTCGGCCCGTGCTTGGCACTGGAGTGAAATCAGGAGTTAAGACTGAGGTCTGAAGCTGTGAAAACGCACCCTTGTATCTCACCTTGTTGCGCTCTGAGGCCGCCGGGCAGCGTCCGGGGGAGGCGGGAATCGCTTCCCGGTGCTTAAGTGTCTGCCTCTCTTTCCTTGGTCCTTTGGTTTTGGATCTCACGCTTCGGGTCTCTCAGTTTCCCTCCTGCCCTCCAAGGAATTAAATAACCTCTAGGGCCTCAAGTTGTGAGTAGAGGACCCACAGCGGAGGGACGCGAGGTGGGAAGTGCAGAGACGGGAGCAGCTCTCCTTTGCGGAGCTGCGTCGCCGGGGTAGTGCTACTCTCTGCACGTGGTCTTATCTCTTTTAAGAGGAAGTATAAAATGAGCACTTCATTCGAGGGTTCATTTTCGAGGACTCGGGGTCTCCTGCATCTGTGTGTGTGTGTGTGTGTGTGTGTGTTCCGCTGACAGGGGATCTTCCGTAGACCTGGGAGCCTCCCAAGATTAGTAAATTGCTTTGAGTTTCCAGGGAACCGTGTGCGCGCATTGTGAAACCATTGAGCTGTGGAAGTAGTTTAGAATTAGTTAGGTTGCGGTTAGCATCAGGTCTTAGTTGCCATCTTGAGCGGGTCATTTAATCGTTTTTTTTGCTTTGCGTTCCTCATTTCGGACTCAATATTAAAAGCAATAGGTACTACTGGAAGTAGTTGTTAAGCTTTTTGATGGTAAGAAGCTGCGCTCTAGGAAATAGTACATATTAAAGAGTGTACGATTATAAGTCGGTTATTAGGAAGTTTACTGTAGACCCGGCGAGCCATGAGTTCACAGTTTGTTCTGACAACATAACCCGTTTTTTACTTGCTTTCGCAGTTTCTAATAAATCAATCCTCATGCCATTTGGTGAATGATGTTCATAATTAGTTCGTAATTAGTAATGGCTTTATCAGACATCCTTTAGTTATGTAGAAACTATGGTAGAGGGCCAGTTTTGGCTGCTTTAACATTCTGTTTACTCTTTATCGTTTTCTTCCCTCCCAGGCACATTTTTCCGTGGGGAACAGGGAAATAGTTGGGTACCATACCCTACTCACTACCCCTAAACAGACTTGTGACAAAAACAGCCTTGCTTACTATTTGAGAACTAAAGCTAGCTAAATCCAAAATCACGCATAAGCGTCACGGTTTTTGTTTATTTTCCGGGTAATATTTTAAGTATGTCCTATTTTGAGGCCTTGGATACATTATAAACATTTTAATATCTGTGTTCAGTTTTCCTAATATCGTAGGGTGTGACTGTTCTCTCTAAGTAAATTGCTACGTCTTCCAGCAATCTTTTTAGTTTATATTGCTTTAGATTATCATTAACTGCAAAAGGAATCAGAATATCTCAGGCCTTAAGTGATACTGACAGGAGTCTTTCTATTAATATGGAGGCTGCCTGATATAGTGGAAAGACCTTGAATTTTGGTAAACTAGATTTGCATTCAAATCTTGACTTGGTCATTAATTATATTTGTGATATTAAAGTAGGTTGCTTAAACTCTTGAGCTTCAGTTTCCTCTTTGGTAATATGGATATAATCCTTTTTGTTTTTTGCAGGGTTGATGTAAGGATTAAATGAGTTGGTGTCTATAAATTTCATAATAAATTAGCTCCTTTCCTCTCTTTTTGTTTGTAGAGGAAATAAAAAGTACTTACTAAAATGTCAGGATAAATTCTAATTCTGAGATTTAGACTCTAAGTCATCAGCTATCATTATGATTGCCCAGATTGTTGCTTTTTATTTCTAACACAAGTCCAGAAATTATTGGCGAGAGTAGCAGATCATTTTGGCTGATATTACAGTATTTGGAATTTCTAGCCTTTGATCGCTATGGTTTGATTTTCCTTTCTTTGGGGACAGCAGATGAGTGACATTCTACAATACATATGGAGTAAACAGATCCTTCTGTTTCATGTTCATTCTTTAGCTGTTAAATTCCTATTGATATGGGAAGGGATGCTGGTTAATCGTATTTCTAGACATTGAGGAGAATGTATAATATACAGGATTTTTGCCATTGATAATGACAAAATTATTGGACGTGTCTTAATTATAGAAATAAAGAGGTTAAGTTAGATAACCTCTGCAGTTTCTTCTAGCTTTAAAAATTACATTTTATGCACAAGTCAGATGCTTACATTTAAGTATAGTTGTCTCCAATGAAGAGGTCTCGTGCCCTTTTATTTTCTGTGTAATTTTGCTATGCTTTTCATTTTAAAACCTAGCAAATGTAGAAGTTTAGTAAATGTTTTAGGAATGAGCTAAATTTTTTCTATGTATTCCTGTTCATAACCAGACTAAAATATCACTTTGGGGGATAAGGGTGTTGGTGCCATGGTGTAGCTTTGATTTTGGAAGGAGAGTCAAAGAGAGAACCTATAATTGCTTAGAAAATTCTTAATCATATTTCCTTAGAGCCTAACTTATAAAATTAATTACTATTTTGATTTTAAGAGGGGTTTTTTTTGCATGCTCAGCAAAATGAGGATATGAAGAGAATGTGGCATTTTCTTCTGTATCTCCTATGCATAAACAAAGTAGAAAATACTGCTGGCTTCCTTGACACCCAGTATTGTTGGTTTGGGAACTATTTTGATTGACTGCTGATTAAGTGTTCACTTGTAAGCAATAAATGAAATGATCCACTCAAGGCTTGTGATCCTTAGGGGTGTGTGTGTGTGTGTGTGTGTGTGTGTGTGTTC